AATGGATATACCTTTATCGTGTAAACTAACATCTATTTATTTCATAAATCTTAGTAATAAGGTAAATCTGCATGGAAAGCAAGAACATTATCCAGTGTTACACTATTAGATTTTCAACTAAAAAAAAAAGCTAAATTTGCGTAAAAATTTACCTGCATTTATTATAAAAGCAATTTTGAACATACATTACCACATGCGTTCTTAAGTTTAATTATTACTGATAAAAATCAGTTAATTTTGTCTGAGTTTTTCTTTTGAAATGCAAACAAAACGGGAAAGGGATTTTACCGCTTTCTCTGAAACTTAAGTGGCCTCGAAAATCAGTTAGAGGTCATTTCCCCCAAAAAATGTGTTAACAAGTTTTAAGTGTTCTGAAATATTTGGGGGGGAAAAAGGAAAGTGGATTTCAAAGAAATGTTCGTTAAAAGGAAAATTCTGATAATATTGTTCCGATAAAATCGTCTACACTAATTAGCATGTTCGTAGTCGCCCCTTCAAACTTTTACGATCGACCGACACTTAGTTTATGAAAATACAATAATTAGAACCCAAATTATTCAGGTTGATGTATTTATTTCGCGCATTCTATAAGCTTTTCAATATACGATTTTTTCTGGGTACGTAAGAATATTTGACATAAGACAATTCTCCAAGAAACAAGACAATTAAGTTGATTAAAACAGTATTTTGTTCGATTTGAAAAAAAATTGCTGTTGAAACTAGCTTTCGTATAGATTCGAACGTATTTGAAAAGTAGTGAAAATGAGATGAGGCTTCTCAACGGTCTTCTGCCATCATAACGGACAACAAAACAATCTCTGGATTGTCCAGAACAGCTGCTGGACTCGTGTTTACTCACAACACGAGAGGGAGAGGGCACATCATTCAAAGTGGATTTTAACAATAACATAATCCCGGTCCTCCTCTGGGAGGTTGTTAGATGGCATGCTAATATACTTGACTACTTCAAACATTTAATTTTGCAAGTTCTAATAATGGAGTTACATTTTAAGGTTGGGATATAAACTGACTGTGAAACAAACCTTAAATTTATTAAATTAAACTTACTTTTAAAATGATTGACCTCTAACTGACGGCTATACCTGCAAACGCTATTATAAATAAAAATTTGAGAAATAATGTCTGTTCGCACTAGAGCCTGACTAAGGCATATGGGGCAGTTGCCCCTCTGATGAGGGGGCCCCCCAAATCGAATCGAAAGTTTATTTTAAGTACCAAAACAACAATTTAATGTAAAATCCGTCAGTTTTATGTTAGCTTCTTCATTAAGCTATCGTATGAACACAATCTATATTTCGTAAATCCATGGCTTTTCAGGGAAGAATTTATATAAATTTTCGCAATTACGATGGACAAATTTGGCCAGTCAAAAGGCTGTATTTTTACATATCGCCAAATGCGATATGTTTATAAAATTATAGGCTTTTGATTGGCTTCATTGAGCCATCATAATTGCGGAAATTTAGCTGCAAGAATACGAACTTTTGTGCAGTTAGATGACAATCAGAAAACTGCAATCGGCATGATGGACATAGAATTGTCAGAAATTCAATAAAATGAACAGAACGATATTTCGTCTGCCCAGGTTCGATTCTAGTCAACTTTCTTGTCATGTTTACTATAATGAGGTGAAAAATTTAAATAAAGTTCGGTTTTTCATTACCGAAGTAGTGAAGCAGACCCAAAAGAAGTTTTTGCCCCGTGCTCCAATAATGCTAAGTTGGACCCTGGTTAGCAATCAGAGTTTAAAGTCCTTACATTTTTCGTAAACAGAGATAGGTGGTTTGCAATCCAACACTACGTGATGAAAAACCTAAAGTAATGTCAATTAGTTTTAACTAATTTCATCTAGATAAGAGTAAATTTTGAAATTGTACTAAAAAAATATAGTTAATAAATCTACATATTAAATTCATCATAATTTTTTTCCTTCTCTCATTCCTACTCTTAGTTCACACTCACTCTATATTTTGCTCAAATTTTCAATCATTAATAAAATACTTTTTATTCATCCACTCGAATTCAAATACATTCTTTTTAAACTAGTAGTGGGTGACACTTGATATTAATACAGTTTTTTTCAAATATTAATTCATTCATTAAATGAGTATAAGCGAAAAATTAAATGGAATTTTCTGACAGGTTAAGCGTTATTCATTGTTTTAAATTTTACTATAAGCTATTCAATTCTTCACATATTTTAAAAATAACATCAGTGATCATTTCTAACTTACAGCTCTATTAGAACAAAAAATAGTTTACTGCTCACATTTAAGTATTTAATTACTTTATATTCGCTGTGTCAGATAAAATCAATAAACATGACGTGGTATCACGTGTGATCCACGTCACCAAATTTATATTTTTATAGTTGTCGGATACCACGCACCTTATTTTTCAATTCCTACTATTAGTTCACACTCTCCCTATATATATATATATATATATATAGTACAGAACCCGTTATCCGGAAATCAGAAAACCGGAAAACCAAAAAACCGGAATAAAATTCCATACATTTTTCCACCATTTTCAAAAAAAAAATTTTTTTTTTGTTT